CCCTCTGCACAGCAATCGGAGCGGCTTACAACAGATCTAAGTAAATAAATGTATTACAGTTACTAATAACCAAACCCACAAATTATTACATTATTAGAATTCTTATTGCTCAAAAATGCAGAAAGGGTTTTCAGAAAACCACCAATTGGTTTATTCTTTAAATCCCACATTAATTGGGCAATTTGGGTTAACCTGACAACCATCCATTCTTCTGTCATCAGTGCTTCCACCCATTTCCATGTTTTAGCAAATAATGTTGCTGCTGTTAACATATGTCTAAGAAGTAATTAATATTCACTATCAAATTCTTTACCCATAATACACAACAAAAACTTTTCTGGTGTCATTGCAAACTGTACCATTAAACATTTTTGAATTAACATAAATATTTTAGACCAATAGCTTGTTGCTTTCATACATGTCCATCACATATGAAACAGGTGCCTTCCTTACCTTGACAGCCCCTACACTGATTTGAAGCATCTTAGAAATTTTTGACAACTTCACATTTTCCACATAACTCTTTGAAAATTGTGCTCAAAATTTTGTGTCCATGTTATCATATAATCTTTCACCAGTTCATCTTCCATTTCTAATTAGCTAGGGTATTAGTATTTAAACATATAGCTATGGTATAGTTAGGTTTTTTATATTATTGATTCATACTAATCAACACAATTCCAAGATGTAGCTATTGTTTCCTTATTGTAGCATAATTAGGTACAAAGGAATCCTGTAGCAGGTCTGAGACTCATTGAGAAAAATAAATCTATAGTATAAACTTTTGTGGACTCTATGGAGTCCACAAAAACATACGCTAAGAATTTCTTCTTTTCCATGAGTCTCAAACTTTCTACAGGATTCCTTTGTATTCCGTTATGCAGCAACAGACTAACATGGCTATATTTTGGAACTGTGTTGATTAGTGTGAATCAATAATATAAAATCAATAAAAACCCTAACTATACCATAGCTAATGGAATAATATAATTGTACTTGTAAATTTACAGTCTTATTTACGACCAGACAGGTTGTTACGTCTTAACGAAGTCAGAAAAAGATAACATTATTCAGTAATGCTTGGCGTGCCACCCTTTTGCTATGGCCAATTTTTCCCTCCTACTTGTGTCATCCTGTTCTTTATGACTGAAACTGAGAGGCTCTCAATACTGCAAACAAAAAACACAACCCTGAACTCTGCCTTCTGCATCTTCCCTCCTTTGAGGTTTTTCCCACTCCTGTTTTAGATCATTGCACTGTGACATTAATATAATTATTTTGATGTGATCACCCAGATGGTATGTCAAGGGACTTTTCAGCAGACCAAGGGTATCTTGCCATCCTCCCTTTCCTTTTTTGCTCTTCTGGAGGCCTTTCCTTTCCCTGCTCAGATTGTAGAAATTATAAATTCTGAGCACTTTTTAAAAAGAAAATTCTGTTCTCTCAGTAATGACTATGGGCCATTTTACACTACACAATTACAGTGTGCCCTTGGTATCCACTGGGGTCTGGTTCCAGGACCCCCATGGATACCAAAATCCATGGATGCTCAAGTCCCATTACATACAGTGGCATACTAAAATAGTGTCCCTTGTATAAAATGGCAAACTCAGACTTGTTTTGGGGAATTTATATAGTTTTAAAATATTTTCAATCTGTGGAGGGTTGAATGCGTGGATAAAGAATCCGTGGATACGGAGGGCCAACTGTATAGCACTATGATGCCACATTGTCATGGCAATATCTTACTGAATCCTGGGATTTGTAGTTTGTTGAGATACTAGAAATCTCTGGCTGTATATCCCCCAACTATAACAATTTAAGGACGTTATCACACGGGGCAAATCTGCTGGTTAATCCACACAA